GAGGTCGCAATAGTAAGGCGACATCCCCGTGGCTGGCGAGACGGCGTGGTTGTAGGCTATCTTCGCGTGGGCAAGATGAAGATCCCACTGCTGGTCGTCACGAACAATCTTTCGAAGAATATCTCCGAGAGTCCTGTTCGTGATCTCGGTCTGACCATCAGTCTGAGGATGGTAAGACGAGGAGAAGCGGAGCTGAGTGCCGTATACCTCGTGGAGCCGTCGTCAGAATCGGCTGGTAAAGCGCGGGTCACAGTCAGATATGATGCTCAGAGGTAAGCCGTGGTCACGCACGACTCGGTCGAACACGATGTCGGCGACCTCACGTGCACTGATGGCATAGCGGCACGGAACAAAGCGTGCACGCTTCGTGAAGCGGTCRACGACGACCAGGATAGCATCATGACCGCGAGGGGTCGGAGGACGAAGAGGACCGATAAAGTCCATCGAGATGGACTGCCAACGACCCTCAGGGATAGGAAGAGGCTGGAGCAAACCATAAGGTAGGTGGTTCGCACTGTTCACCTCCTGACAGGTTGGACACTCTGCGACGTAGTCCTTCACAAAGTCCTTGTGCTTCGGCCAGACGTACAGGCGGCTCACACGAGCCAACGTCTTGTGGAAGCCCATATGATCGGCAGCTGCCTGGTCATGGAACTCTGCTACTGCTCGGACACGTAACTGTCCAGTGGAGGGAACGCAAATACGGGGCTCTCTGGTGCCCTGTGAACCGTGCCAGTACGCAAGACCGTTGTCCCCGAGAGAGTAGTTCGGGACAGTTTTGCCACTCCGAAGGGTCGCGTGGAGGTCGCGATAGTGAAGGCAGTGGCGGTAATGAGTGCGAAACTCGTCGATCATCGAGTGGTGGACGGTGGCGACCGAGATGGAATAGAGCTGGATGTGCTCCTGATCGTGGTCAGGGCGCCGGGATAAGGCATCTGCGACCCGATTAGTTTCACCCTTGATGTGCTCAGTGGTGAAACTAAACTCGGATATGTCGCGCCACCAGCGAGCCTGTCGAGGAGTGAGCTTCGGTTTTGTCAGAAAAGCCTGGACAACAGAGTTGTCTGTACGCACCGTAAACGGTGCCCCGTGTAGGTAGTGACGCCAGTGCCGAGCGACATAAATTACTGCGAGAACCTCACGTTCATCAGCGGTGTAGTTTATCTCGGCGGGCAGGAGCTGACGGGAGTAGAAGGCTATCGGACAATCACCGGAGAGAGACTCGACAGTGCCGTCCTCGGCGATGGTAGGAGAATAGTCAATAGAAGGCTCTTCAGTAGCTGGACGAGTAGGCGTCAGTCGGGAAGCAGTGGTAGGGGTAGGTGGTGGGAAGCGAGGGATACGAGGATGAGAGGAATCAGGAGAGGAGGGGAAAACCTGAGAAAGCACTGCTCCTACAGCGAAGTCTGACGCATCGGTGGTAAGGATAAAAGGGCGGTCAAAATCGAGTAGGTGAAGAACCGGTGCGCATGTCACCGCCTTCTTGAGGGCACGGAAGGCGTCCTCGTGGAGGGGTGTCCAAGCTCAGGGTGGGTTCTTCCGGAGGAGGGTGGAGGTAAGGACGTAGGAATACCTAGCGTATCCCCGGATGAAGTTACTACAGTAGCTGGTCAGGCCTAGGAAGCTGCAAAGCTGCTTGGCGGATGTGGGGGCGGGCCACTCCGCAATAGCAGTGATCTTCGCGTCGTCCATGTGGAGACCCTGGTCAGACACGTAGTGTCCTAAGAAATCCACTTTGTGCTGGGCAAAGCGACACTCGCTCAGCTTGGCGTAGAAGCCATGTCTGCGCAAGCGGTCAAGGACGTCGCGGAGGTATCTGAGGTGCTCCTCAAAGGTACAACTGTAGACCAGGATATCGTCGAGGTAGACGAGAACGTACTGCTCCAGGATGTTCCTGAAGATGTCGTTCATTGCCTTCTGGAAGGTGGCGGGTGCATTGGTGAGGCCGAATGGCATCACCGTAAATTCGTAGTGGCCGAAGCGCGATCCGAACGCTGTCTTCGGCTGGTAGGCTGCAGCGACGCGGATATGATGGTAACCGCTACGAAGATCAATCTTCGTAAAGAAGCGGTTGCCTGCTAGGCGGTCGAACAGCTCATCGGAACGAGGCATGGGGTAGCTGTTCTTAACCGTGTAGCGGTTGAGACCGCGATAGTCGATGCAGAGATGGAGAGTTCCATCCGCTTTGCGAGCAAGGAGGATGGGTGCACCCCACGGGGAGTTGCTGGGTTTAATGAAACCCAGTCTCAAGAGCTCCTCAAGCTGGCGCTTGAGTTCGGTGGCCTCAGGAATCGAGAGTCTGTAGGGTGCCTGGTGGTGAACACGATAGTCCGGCACAAGCCGAATGGAGTGCTTGACGTCACGCATCGGTGGGATGCCGGCGTACGAGAACGACGATGGGAAAACATCGTGGTACTCTCGGATGAGGTCACGAACTGCGGGCTCTAGGTCAGCCGTATATCGTGCGATTTCCTCAGCGTCAGCGTCAGCGCCCGACGGTGGGGTGGACTCGACGAACGGCGGAGGGACGGAAGTAGAGATGGGAGCCATGGAGATAGAGGGAGGATCGGGCTCCAGAGGGATGAGCTCGGCATCGGGACAGGGTGGATCATAGTGTAGGAGATCCATCACGTCCACCATAAAGAAGGTGACGTCGTCCTGTCGAATGAAGTGAGCGAACTGCCGAGGCGAGGTGGCAGTGATAGAGGGGGATGGTGTGGGCACTGACGGCTCCGGGGGAGGAGGATCGGGGCGTGGTATCGCCGTGGTACCTATGAAAGGTACGCGATACGTCTGTCCACACTTCGTTTTGAGAACGAGAGTGTTGGTCRCCCAATCRRCCTCGGTGCTGCGGAACCGACGAGACCACGGAGTGCCGAGAATGAAGTCGTACCCCGTCTCCATCACATCGAAATGTGCAGAGGAGCGGTGGCGACGAGACGCCGGGGAACGATCAGTCGGCTCGAGAGTGAGGAAGAAGGGGAGGTTGGTGACCGTCTGATCGAAGAAGCACTGGGTCTTGTCATCCCCTAGGGTAACGGAGATGGGAGTCGGAGACCCTGTCGTGGGTAATTGGGCTTCCTTCACCACGCGTGGGTGAATGAAGTCGCCCTGAGAACCGGAATCCGACAGCGCTGAGTACACCCTCGTGGAGGTCCCGAGTCGTACTGGGATGATCGGGAGGGTGCGATCAGGGTCAGAGAGGATGGCGAGAAGGCGACGCAGCGCAGCGACATGGAGGGTGAGTCGCTCCTGACAAGCCAAGAGCATGCTCAAGTCCAGAAGAGAGGACACAACGTCCTCGCGAGTAGCAAGCTGCTCGCTGCAACGGGCTGAGCGAATGGCTCGACGCGTCGGTAGTCACGGCGGGGAAGGAGGGGAAACGGTGGTCTGTGGAGGCGCAGACGGTACTACGACAGAGGGCTGAGTACACTCTGTCGAGTCCTGCGATACCTCGACTCCAGTAGCGAGAGGGGCGAACTGCGACGGAAATGTCGGGAAACCCACTACCGAGGAGGGTGCAGGTGTACACTGCACCGTGGCTAGGAGGCGCCGCGGGGACGTGAGGCGCCGGGGGGGGACTGAGCACGACGCTGACGAGAAAGATCAGCGTAGTGGCGGTCGAGGGCGGTAGTGTAAGGGCACCGCGAGGAGGTATGACCGTCCAAGCGGCAGCGCAAACACCCACGTCGGCCCAGAATAGCCGCGCGCTCCTCAGCGGAAAGGACACCGCGAGGAGGGACGAAGCCCTGAGAGAGGTCCTCTTGAGGGACCTCGGGGGGCGACGCGCCAGCGTGACCGGGGCGGCTGCTTGCCCGAGAGAAGGCGGAGAGCGCGAGCTGAAGGCGTCCAGCTGCAGGGAGGGTCGAGTCCTCCAAGTGATAGTGGACGGCCTCGCAGAGATCGAGGTCGTCGCTGTGGTCGCCCTCAGGTGACAGTGGGGCAATAGCGTCCTGCTCACCATACTCCAGTGCGCTGAAGTGGCGCGAGAAGTGGCGGCCCTGCCGCGTGGAACAGAGGGGGCGACCGCGGAAAGGGGAACGACACTGGGAAGTGTTGTGAGAGGAGGAGGAGGCGTAGCCTGTGCGCTGGGGCTGGGAGGAGGAGGCGGGGKGAAGACGGGCTCGCATCCGCTGGTGGTCCCTGGCGGCCTCGTAAGCCTGTGGGGCCGATGTGAACTCGTACCGCCATAGCTCGGAGCGGTACTCGAGCGGAAGGCTGGCCAAGAAACGATTGATAAGGGCAACCTCGGGGAGGAACGTCATGTCGCAAACGAGGTGGGCGTCCGAACCGATCCTCGAGGAACGCCTGGAAATCCACGAAGGTCGGAGTCYGACCCTCACGAAGGGAGTAGGCATAAAAATCCTCCCAGGCCTCGAAAAGACCGCCACGCAGGCGCGTGGAGAGGTGACCCACCCACGTCTCGGGTGTGGCGCCCATGAGCTGGAGTGTGCGGGTGGCAGACTGCAGCCACCGAGACACGCGTATGCCTGTATCGTCATACAAGGCAATGTCCGACAAGCGGATGAGTGGTGCGCCACCGTTTTGGCGGCGAGGGGATCGAGGAGCGGAGGCCTGTGCCACGGCTGAGTAAGTCGGCGCAAGTCCTGGAGAAAGGGGCACAGCTGACTGTGCGCCCGGGCCGCATGGGGGAGCGGCGGTGGCAACAGCGGCAGGCTGCGAGGGTGCTGCGGTAGAAGAGGTCGCAGCAACCGCGGGAGTAGGGAGAAGGTAGGAAGGAGTTGTGTAGGGTGCAGGGCACGGAAAGCGAGCCTGCATGGGAGGAAGGGTAGAGGAGGTAGGGGGTGCGCCCGAAGGCGCGGCCACCTGTGAGGGTGGGGGTGGTTGAAGGTGTAAGAGGGCGAGGTCCGCCCGGAGCTGGGCAATCTCGTCCGCGAGACCTCGAACGTAGGTCGATCGAGAGGTGGCAGGAGGAAGAGTGGAGGGGGTGGACGCACAAGCGGCGCGGGGCATCCCAGAGGGGGGAGAGCCAGGTGCCGCTGCGGTCGTGCGAAGGGGAGGGAAAAGCGGGGCACCTGGAAAAGTTGAGACCATGGTAGCGGGTTGTTGTACCGTGGCCGTAGGGACCGGGATCTGGGCGGGTGTGTCCGTAGACTGAGGGGGGGCCTGGCTCATGGCGGCCGTCGTGCTAGAGGCGTGGACAGTCACCAAGATGGTCGGGTCAACGGCAACGGAGGAGGAAGCTCCGCCGTGGCCACCCTGTCGGAGGACGGGGACCCGGACTGGGAGCCAGGAGATGACGGACACGCAGCGTCCTGGAGTTGCTGCATGCCGGTGGCAAGGGTCGCCACCTGCGCCTGTAAGGGCGCGAGGGTCGCGAGTTGCGCCTGGATGGGCGCAAGGGTCGCGAGTTGCGCCTGGATGGGCGCAAGGAGGGAGGTGAGGAGGGTGCGTAGATCCCCCTGGGGCTGATGGCCCTGGTCCGCCGGCACGGGTGTGGAGCCCGATGCCGTGGTCATCGCCGTGTCGGCGGCGTGTGACGCACCGTCGGCCATGGGGAGATGACGGACCGGACTGGAGGGGGCCAGAAGAGGTCCGCGTGAGCAGAGGGCGTAGGGGGAAGTCCGCGGTAGAAAGCGGCGAACGGCGCTAGCAAGGCTAGCATGGACGCCGTCAAAGGGGGAGGGGTGGTTCGGGTCCAGGGCGTTCGAAGAGGACGGGGAAGTAGGGGGGTTTTGAGGAACCCTAAACCCTACAAAAACCCTAAGAAAACCCTAACCCAGGTTTAAGTGGCTAGGGTAGGGTACCGGTGACCTAATCAAGAAGTAAAATAGCAAGCATAAGGGGGAGGGAGACGGGAGAAAAATAAATAAACAGCGAGATTTCGAGAAAAAATAAAAATAAATAAGAAAATAAATAAATAATAATAAAAATAATTAAAGAAATAAGTAAAGAGATGTGAAGGGAAACAATATTTATTTATTTATTTATTAATTTATTTATTTGTTTTTGAAATTTAAATAAAGAAGTAAAAGTGGATGAGGAGGTGGGGAGGAATGACGTATATACTTTGTCAAAAATTTTGGCAGCATTTCGTTACCCCCATGGGGTCGAAGTGTGCCGAGAAGACTAAGTGAAAGAAAAAAAAACAGAAAATTTCGGCAGCACTTCGTTACCCCCACAGGGTCAAAACGTGTGCCGAAAGTAGTAAAGACTAACACCTAATCAGATTTAGGGTTGCCGTAAAGAAAATCGAATTTTCAGACTAAATAGAAAAATAAATAAAATAAATCAGAAAATGAGAAAAGAAGGTGGGAAAGAAGATATTTAGAATTTTTGGAAAAGAGAAAAAATAAATCAAGAGAGAGATAGAAAAAGACAAACAGAAAAATTCGAAGTGGGGGAAAAATGGGAATGAAAAAGTGAAGGAGAAGAGAAGGAAATAGGTGGGGGAGGGAAAAAGATGAAGTGGGAGGYGGGGGGATGAGGTGGTGGTAGTTGGGGGAGAGGAGGGTTGGGGAAAGGTGGAGAGAGATCAAGAAGGAAGGAGAGAAGAAGGGAAGAAAAGGAGAGATGAGAAAAAATAGAGAAAAAGAATGGGTGGTGGGAGAAAGGTGGGGTGGGGAAGATAAAAGGAGGAGAAAAAAGAGGCAGTAGAAGGTGGGGGAAAGAGAAGGGGTGAATAAGAGGAGAGAGGAGAGGTAGGGAGAGTGGGTTAGTAGAGGGAGAGGGGAGAAGGGATTGATACCTGGCCCTTGGTGTCTCCAAGGGCACAAGGTACACCAAGCCCTGGAGGGTCTTGGCCTTCATTGCAGCAAGCCAGCTCTAGGGGAAAGGGGGCTGAGATCCTGATCAGCCCCTAGCAGCCACTGTTCTGCAGATGTGCAGATCTAAGGTCTGTTGTGTGAGCAGGCCCTCACCACTATAGAGCAGCACCCTAAGCAGGGGGGTCTTCTGTTCCAGCACCAGCTGCCACAGGGCAGATGGCCACATACCCGGCCAACAGCAGCCGACGGCGGGGGGGGGCGAATAGTAGCCCGCCCGTTGCTGATCTGCTCTGCTGCTCGCTGCGCAGTGCTCGCCGGCGGGGGGGGGGGRGGGGAAGGGCAAATAGCCAGCACGGCACCGCTTTAACACGAGTGTGCCATGCTTCACAGCCATGGACACACTGTGACGAGTGTGTTATGAGCTTGCTTACGCACGCTTATGGCTCGGCACGTGCCTGGGTTCAAACCCCAGCGGCAGCAAAAACTCCTGGATCTTGATAAGATAAATCTGGGAGCGGGGCGAGGCGGGGCAGCGGGGCACGTGGCGCGCGCGCGCGTGCAGCGGCCTTCGCCTTGTGCGCGCAATGGGGCTTCCTTTTTCGCCACGTGGACCGCTCCTGCTGCAGCACCTTTTTTCGTTGTTTTTCCCGCTTTTTCGCCCGAAAACGCCCCAAAAACAGCCGAAAACCCGACTGCCAGGTTTTGCCGTATTCCCCTGCTGTGCGGTGTGGTGGGTGGGGGCAAGGATCGTTCCCGCTCCGATACCAATGTAGCGGACCCACCAGGTGTGGTGCTCCACTAGTGACAGAGATGGAGATGGAGGAAGAAGGAGGGAGCAAGGTGCACAGCGCAGCTCCCCACGCAAGGCTCCAACGCACGTACTCCAAAATGTCCAAGTGAAGAATGAGCGTGAAAACAGACAATGGCTGGGGTATACCCCAGCGAACTGACGGGACTGGACTGGACTAGCTGGTACCGACAGAGGTACTGGCCTGGACTGGCCTACCCCGAATACAACACAGGCCTGTGAGAGCAGGCCAAGGGGCTGGTCTCACAGACCAACCCGAGGTCCGCTACAAACGTGGCTTACCCGCGTGTCTGCAGAGCCTATACCCGGTCCAACTTTTCGAATCACCGAGTTTCCGCCTCAACCCGCAACATGAAGATCGAACTCCCCTTTTGTATTACTGACCGCGAGTGTCTGAAGGATCAGGAATTCCTTGAGTATTGGGAGCACGTGTGTCTGTCTGCACGACCGAGGGGAGAACTTCCTGAATTTCCATACCCGGTGGGAAACGAACGTATCTGCGAGTGGGATATCGACCGAGCTCGAGGGCACATTCCCCACCACCCTGAATTCCCCAGCTCGTACACGTGCCACCTTGTCGCGGCACCGGGAATAATTATTCTGGAAACTGACTTCCCTCTCTACCACCGCATATTGCCCTTCCATTCGCTGACCATCATCCCCTGGCGCGCAATCGCTCCGTATTGGCCCCAGCCCCCGTGCTCGGCGTGCTTGCAAGACCACGAGTACCAAGCCTCCGGCTTCGTCCGGCAAACTCGCTCGGAGGAAGAACGACGGGCACACAGCCTTCAGCTAAGGCCGGCCGCGTCGGATTCTGAGACCAGTAATGTACGACGCCAACGAGTGATCGGACAGCGCAATAGCCATA